CTCAACCTATTATGGTGAATGTACATATGTTTGTGAGTTGTTTAGCTTTGATAATCGATTTCCCAATTAAGGAAATTCTGGCGAATAAAGAATCCGCGGATTTCGGGCGGTACGCGGAAGGTAATGCTTCAACAGCAGTGTATGCGACGTAAGTTATCTAAATACGAACTTTTCGATAATTTTTTTGAAAAAAAATAGAATTATTCTGAATCTACGATTTGTAGGACCACAAGTACCCCAAGCAGCAGAGCTCGAAAGAAGAAACGACGTCCGAATGAACAAGATGAGGTTGAGGCAGCGTTATTGGCGGCGTGCCAGGCTTCGAGCAGTACGTCAGCAATCAGTGATGCATCTTCTGTTGAGGGTAGTCCGGCGAAAAGGAAAAAATCAGTATGCTTCCAAGTGTTTGCTAATGCGCGTTTGATATTCGGTTGACTTAAAACCACTGTTGACTGCTGAGCTTGCCACCAACGTAATTTTTTCATTTTCCAGTGTGATTCGTTTATGGGTGATGAACAGCAAATGGCAGAATGGGGCAATTACTAAAATTCAACTTGACCGATGTCATACACGATTTATGAAAAATTCTTCCTACCTGTGGCGGGCGGGACTACACCTGGGCAAGTGTTGGGAGTTCGAGTATGATAGGTGGGGGAGGGGTGTGCCGCGGGTTTCGTTCAAAGCGGAGGAAGAGGGCTGGGCTGTATGACGTAGATTCCTTGACAGTTGACTAGGTCACGTGCATTTCAAGGGCGGGAGGGAGAGGAGGTAATGGGTGGAAAGGAGAAGGAAGGGTGCTTCTGGTATGTTACCGTACAAATACTTGAAGTCGGGAAAAGGCTGAAGTACTGCTTACTTCCAGAGTGCCATAGCCAGATATTGCTTTGCGGGCAGAATTTGGGAACAGGGTAGAGAAGGGGAACGAGGACACAAGTCAGGAGCTCGAAGTAAGAAATGGAGACAGCAGTAAAGAAAAAAAGACAGCAAAGCATTGCAAAGGAAATTAAAGCAAACCTGAGTCTATGAATAAAAGCAAAAGAAGTGAAGTAAGGGAAATTTTAAACTTATTGGATAAAACAAAAAAACTGAGCCGGTTGAGTGAAAGTTGTTCTATAAAAGCCCGTTGTCTGTGGGGGAATTCTGTGTTTATAAATCTGATGCTTAGATAAAGTTGACAGCGAATAATTTTCTTTGTGGGATATGAAGTGAGCAAAAAACAGGGTAGATTGGATGCATGAGGATGAAGTCAGCGTTGGCAAAAAACAGAGGTGTGTTATGCACAGTTGCAGACTGCCCAAAGCAGCACATTAGAATTATGTGGAACTTTTATGCAAATCCAGTCGAGCTTAATTCGTCTTCAGTTTCACGTAAGCATGACATTCATAAACAGAGAAACTTCCTGCTGAAGACGGGTTTTTGTAAAACAATTTCCACTTG